TCAGGCTCCAAAACCCAAGAAAGACACATGAGATTCTTCTGAACAGATTTCCTCAGAAATCTTGCCAAACTAAAGCGGACTCTGTTTGCACCATAAAACTTATCTTCTGGGAACTAGTAGGGAGCAGTTGTCTTCACCCACTTTCTCATACACAACCTATCTAAGCTGCTTGGTCCCTTGCTCCTCTGAAATGCAGCCCCCCTTCCTTGGAATCCAGACAACTTTCTACCACAGAAACATTGGCTTCTCCATTTTCTCACCCTGGGATACACAAGAATCGTTCAACCCCAACTTTTCTTATGTTTCCACCTCCACATGAACTCTGTCCCGAAGATCAGCAGTCCCCAAACTGGTCCATTCCAGTTTCATTTAGACAACAGATCCATACTGATTGCAAATGCAGTCGTGACCTCTCCGACAAGACTCTGGTCATCTCCAGAAGGGACACTGAGGTTAGCATCAACCAACCTAGCCATGAAATGGTTCTTACCGATCACACAAAATGGCTTGCGGGCGAATTTTAATCTTCCCCTCCAACCTCGGTACCGACAGCAACAGCCAGCCGCCCAGATTCGTACAAAGTACTCCACTCCGAAGACCACAATAGTGACAATTTCCTGCCAGAAAGACAGAACTTGTAGTGTAATATAACAACACAAGACAATCCTGATACAACAATTTCTACTCTATTCTACTCTACTCTACTCTATTCCACTCCATTTCACTCTATGCCACTGCATTCCATTTACCAAATGCATGGCTCTCTTCTCTGGATTTAACAGAATGACAGAGTTGGAAGGGACCTTGGAGGTCTTCTAGTCCAGCCCGCTGCTCAGGCAGGAATTTATTTAATTATCTCCTTGCATTTCCACAAACCTGGCCAGCAACTTTGGACAGAGATAAATTGCTCTGTCTGGCTCCAAAGTGTGTAACCCTCAGTAAAGTGCCAGCTCTCATTAGAGTTCCCTTTTCTCAAACTAAGACGATTGAAATTGTGCATCTTAACAGAATAACAGAATTGGGAGGGACCTTGGAGGTCTTCTAGTCCAACTTGGACAGCTTGGACAGGAAACCTTATACCAGTGGTGGCTAACCTTTTTGGGCTCCTGTGCCAAAAATTGTGCAAGCACTTGCACTTGTGTGCTCGCGTGCCAGCACCCAGAAGGCAATGCATATGCCCCCCCCCCCCTGCACATGCATGCACACATCCGCCTCCGCTGCCCCCTTACCTGCACTCCACCACACAGCTGATTTTCGGCCAGTTTGAGACCTTTTTCTGCCTCTGCCGGCTTTGCAGGCCGAATAATAGGCCCATTTCATCACTTCCGGTGTTTACAGGAAGTGATGAAACAGGCCTGTTATTTGGCCTGCAAAGCCTGCAGAGGCTTTTTTCAGGCCATCAGGAGGCCGAAAAAGGCCTCAAACCTGCCAAAAATCAGCTGTAAGGCACACGCATGTACAGTGAGGTAAGTTTGCCTGTGGCTCGCGTGCCGGCACAAATGGCTCTGAGTGCCACGTGTGCCATAGGTTCGCCATCACGGCCTTATACCGTTTCAGACAAATGGTTGTCCAATCTCTTCTTAGAATCCTTCAGTGTTGGTGCATCCACAACTTCTGGAGGCTAGATGTCCCACTGATCAATTATTCAAACTGTCAGGACATTCCTCCTTGGTCCCTAGGTTGCTTCTCTCCTTGATTAGTTTCCATCCATTTTATCCATCCATCCATTTTAGTCTTAAGACCTTTGAGCATCACACTTACCAGACTGTAAAGGGCCCATGCAGAACTCTCTTCGTAATCATCGATGGTGGAAAAGACGGAGAGGACTAAACAGGAGAGAACCAGCAGAAAACTGGACAGCCCAGAAGCAAAGAAAAAGAGAAAGAGAAGAGGAAATTAATGCAGCCATTGATGGATTTGTTGCATTCTTTTTTTTCTTCCAGGCCACAAATGACAGGTTGCTTCCTACAAACTGCTTAACCCAGGGGTCCCCAAACGTGGCAACTTTGAAACTTGTGGACTTCAACTCCCAGAATTCTGGGAATTGAAGTCCACAAGTCTTAAAGTTGCCACGTTTGGGGACCCCTGAGCTAAAGGAATTAGGTATCAATAAAAGATAATATTTGTCACTCAGTGGAAAATACTTTAAAGGCTTTGCAGTTTAAACTGCAATTTCCAGAGATCTCCAAACTTGGCGTATGCTGGCTGGAGAATTCTGGGAGTTGAAGTCCACAAGTCTTAAAGTTGCCAAGTTTGGAGACCTCTGGCTTAACATGATTTAAAGAGTTAACATGTTTTTCTAGATTCACACACAATATTGAAAATCAAAACTCTTGGTTGGCGTATTGGACCAAAGCCACCCAAAATGAACCAAGCTAAGCATCTGATATAAATGGGAATTTTTAGGTCAGCATTTCAAGGGAGACTGGACTAGAAAACTAGTGGTGCATGCTAACGCTACTTTTATTATAAGGCTATGATCGTCCTTGACTTACAACAGTTCGTTTAGTGACTGTTCAAACTTACAATGGCAATGAAACAAGTGACTTAGGACCATTTTTCACACAAATGGCCATTGCAGCCACCCCATACATGATCAGGTAATCAAAATTCAAATGCTTGGCAACGGACTTGTATTTGTGACAGTCGAAGTGTCCCGGGGTCACGTGATCCCCTTTTGCGACCTTCTGACAAGCAAAGTCAATGGGGAAGCCCGATTCATTTAACGACCGTGTTGCTTACTTAACAACTGCAGTGATTCACTGAACAACTGTGCAAAAAAAAAAGTTGTAAAATGGGCAAAGTTCACTTAACAACTGTCTCGCTTAGCATCAGAAATTTTGGGCTAATTATAGTCATTAGTCAAGAACTAAGTGTATAGTAACAGAACAGTGCAAGCCTGACTGCACTTCCTTCTCAGCCTTTTGTCTTCCTGAAACTAGTGAGGGTTATGACTGAGACACTACTTCAAATTACATTTGTACCCTAGACTGACCTTTCTTTTATCTGTTCTCTCCATTGTAGTTCCTTCTCCTCTTATTACTTGTACTACTACTACTACTCCCTCTCTCCCTTTCATCTTCCTTTCTTCTCCTTCTCCTCCTCCTACTTGTACTCCTCCTCCTTCTGTCACCTTCCTTTCTCCTCCTCCTCCTCCTCTTCCTCCTACTTGCGCTCCTCCTCTTCCCTTCCTTTCTCCTCCTCCTCCTCCTCTTCCTCCTACTTGCACTCCTCCTCTTCCCTTCCTTTCTCCTCCTCCTCCTCCTCTTCCTCCTACTTGCACTCCTCCTCTTCCCTGTCATCTTCCTTTCTTCTCCTCTTCCTCCTCTTACTTGTACTCCTCCTCCCTCTCTGTCATCTTCCTTTCTTCTCTTCCTCCTCTTACTTGTACTTCTCCTCCTCCCTCTCTGTCATCTTCCTTTCTTCTCCTTCTCCTCCTCCTCTTCCTCCTAATTGTACTCCTCCTCCCTCTCTCTCCTCATCTACCTATCTTCTCATTCACCGACTCCTCCTCATCATCATCATCCTCTTTCTCTTATTAATTGTACTCCTCCTCCCTCTCTGTCCTCACCTACCTTCCTTCCTTTCCTTCCTTTCCTTCCTTTCCTTCCTTCCTTCCTTCCTTCCTTCCTTCCTCCTCTTTGTACTTCTCCTTTAAGCATAAAAGCCGGTCAGATGATTTTGAGCCAATCACCAGGAGATGGTGAATTCTAGTGTCACATTAAGCATGAAAGCCAGCTGGATGACTGTGGGCCAGTCACTTTCTCTCAGCCCTAGAAAGCAGGCAATGGCAAACCCCTTTTAACAAAAACCTTGCCAAGGAAACTGCAGGAATCTTTCCAGGCAAGCTCTGAGAATTGGACACAACTGAATGGAAGCGGAGGTGGGTGGGGGGGAGGAAGAACAGAGAGGGAGAGGGAGGGAGGGGGGAAGGGAGGGAGAGACAGAGACAGAGATAGAGACAGAGACAGAGAGAATACTGTATATACTTACATACATTCTGCACTAAAAGCCTCCAATACAGGAACACAATGTTGCCAGCCAATCAAGACACACAAAAAAGCCACAAAACAGACAGAAGATATTAGAAACACCAATCAAGTAGGACACAGCAAACTCCAAGACCAAGAAACACGGACCAAGACTCCCAACCAATCAGGATGAAGAAAAAACCATTCTGGCACAGCAGTAGGCTAGCCCCAAATTTAAAACTGAAACAACTGTAAAAGCCTGACTCACAGACGAACACAATACAGAAGCCTGATGATGGCAGATGAGATTCTGCCGAAACGTTGCTACAACTTTAAAAGCACAACTATAATGACGTGGGAAAATACCCGAACAAAGCTGAATACCTTACATACATTCATGTATACTCCCACACTCCAGAAGAAGGAGATATAAATACACATGTTGAAAAGGGAAGTGTGCTACCTCTGGCAAGGGAGGTGTTAAGTGAATGCATCCATGCACAGACAGAGAAACAACTGGAGATGTGTAAGACCTTCCGATTTCTAAACATCTCAGTTTGGAACATTTAAAGTAGCCTTTCCGGCTCAGATGTTTTGAGCTTAAAATACTCCTAGAAGGTCAAAAGTACTCTTTTGAAGTCAGAACAGAGCAAACTGGGAATTGAAATGGGACATCTGAACTCAAAACATTCTGGATTTCACGGGTTTGATGGACACACACACACCCAACACAAACATTGAAAGCCTGATCAGCTGTCTGTTTCCCCCCCCCCCCCCCCCCAAATTGCTCCCTGGATGACCCTACTGTTCTCCTAAGCAGTTCTTCCAAGACAGATGTGTTCGCAGTGGTTCCCATCACCGTAAATAAGACGTTGTCAGGCTACCACTGGGTGATCACACAGCCCATCGGCGGTTTTAGTATGCCTCAGAAGAAGATGAGGGGGGGAGGGAATCCATGTAGGTTCAGACACACTGAAAATGGAAGCAATGTTCTTTCACCTATGCAGCTATGCAGCAGCAGCCAGAAAAGCCAATGCAATCCTAAATTGCATTAACAGAGGGGTACGATCGAGATCAAGGGAAGTACTAATACCCCTCTATAAAGCCTTAGTAAGACCACACCCAGAGTACTGCATCCAGTTTTGTTCACATTATAAAAAAGATGTTGAGACTCTAGAAAAGTACAGAGAAGAGCAACCAGGATGATTAGGGGACTGGAGACTAAAACACACAACAAACAGTTGCAGGAACTGGGCATGGCTAGTCTAGTGAAGAGAAGGACCAAGGGAGACAGGATAGCAGTCTTCAAGTATTTGAGGGGCTGCGACAGAGAGGAGGAAGGAGTCAAGCTATTTTCCAAAGCGCCTGTAGGCCAGACAAGGAATAATGGATGGAAACTGATCAAGGAGAGATTCAACCTGGAAATAAGGAGAAACTTTCTGACAGTGAGAACAATCAACCAATGGGACAGAAGTTGCCTTCAGAGGCTGTGGGAGCTTCATCACTTAAGACTTCAAAGAAGAGATTGGACTGCCATTTGTCAGAAATGGTGTAAGGTCTCCTGCTTAGGCAGGGGGTTGGACTAGATGACCTACAAGGTCCCTTCCAACTCTGATTATCTGCTGTCTGTTATGACACAAGATTTCCAGCAACTGGTGGCTCGGCTATTATGAAACCACCTTTGCTTTTCCAAAAAAAAAAAAAATGACATCAACCACCAGCAGAATGAGTCAAGCGACTAGGCAGAACAACTTCTGGGCAGAAAACGTCAAAACCTCAGCTGATACAAACAACACAAAAGCATTTGTCTGGTTTGGATAGCATTGCTGTCAGTTCAGCTTCGAATACAGATAGTCCTTGGCTTACGACCACAATTGAGCCCAGAATTTATGTGGCAAAGTGAGAAATTTGTTGAGCGAGTTTTACAATACCACCCATTTTACAACTTTTCTGGCCACCTTTGGTCATAAGTCCCCCCCTTTTTTTTCCAGTGCTGTTGTAACTTCAAACAGTCACAAAATGAACTGTTGTAAGTCGAGGACTACCTGTATGGGTGAGATTCTCAGTGTGTGTGCGATTGGCACCCTAGTCATTTGAAGGTGATTTTTTTTAATTACCTCAAGTGCAGCGTTTACAGAACAACAGAGTTGGAAGGGACCTTGGAGGTCTTCTAGTCCAACCCCCTGCTCAAGCAGGAGACCCTATACCCATGAGGATGAACCTATGGCATTTGTGCAGGCATGCAAGCCCCCAGCCAAACTTACCTGCACTGCGCGTGTGCGCACCTCCCAGCTGATTTTCAGCCCGTTGGAGGCCGTTTTTGCCCTCCCAGAGGCTCAAGGGACCTCTGCAGCCTCGTGAGGCTGAAAAATGGGCCTTCCGGAAATACTGGAAGTGCCCGTTTTCAACCTCTGGAGGGCCTCTGGAGCTCAGGGGAGGCTGAAAACGGGCCCGTTTCAGCACTTCCTGTATTTCCGGAAGGCCCGTTTTTTCGGCCTCCTGAGGCTGCAGAGGCTTCCCTCAAACCTCCGGGAGGGCAACAGCAGCCTCAAATGGGCCGAAAATCAGCCGGGAGGTGTGCACCTGCGCAGTGCAGGTAAGGGGGCAGGATGGGGGTGTTGCACGTGCATGCATAGGGGATGGAGCGCATTACATTGCGGGTGCTGGCACGCGTGCACGCATTCGGCACACCACAACGAAAAGGTTCGCCATCACTGCCCTATACCACACTGGCTGTCTTGTCTATTGCAATTCACAATTATCCTTATACTCCTTCTGTCAGTGTTTTGTAAGTCCAATACTTACAACCGTTGCAACTTCCCCACGGTCACATGATCGAGCTTTAAAAATTTAAAATTAAAGCATAGTTCCCTCTCAGCCG